AATATAATAAAGTGAATTGTATTTTTTTAATAGAATAGTAGAAACAATTAGAAAATTAAGTTTTAAAATTCCATTTATAATAGTCTTAAAAATATAAAGCATTTAGGAATTTCATTAGTCTGCTTGGGCTCCCATAACAAAATACCACAGGCTAGGCAGTTTAAACAATAGACATTCATCTTCTCATGGTCCTGGAGGCTGGAAATCCCAGAGCAGGGTGCCAGCAAGGTTGTGTTCTGGGAAAAGATCTCTTTCTGACTTGCAGATGGCCACTTTCTCCATGTATACGCACTTGGCATTTCCGTGGTGCATGCATGCCGCTGGGGCAGGGGGAAGAACCTATTCCTCTTCTTATTAGGCCACCAATTCTATCAGAGTAGGACTGTAATCTTTGGCTTCATTTAACCTTGTAGTTGGACTTCCCTGGTGGCTCAGATGGTAAAGCATCTGCCTACAAAGTGTGAGACCCGGTTTTGATCCCTGGGTCGGGAAGATCCTCTGGAGAAGGAAAGGGCAACCAGTACTCTTGCTCAGAAAATCTCACGGACAGAGGAGCCTGGTAGGCTACAGTCCATGGGGTCGCGAAGAGTCGGACACGACTGAGCAACCTCACTTCAGATAACCTTGTAGTTGTTATTCAGTCGCTAAGTCATGTCCTACACTTTGTGACCCCATGGACTGTAGCCCACCACACCCCTCTGTCCACGGGATGTCCCAGGCAAGACTCCTGGAGTGGGTTGCCTTTTCCTCCTCCAGGGGATCTTCCTGACCCAGGTATCAGACCAATGTCTCCTGCACTGGCAAAGTGGGTTCTTTACCACTGAGCCACCAGGGAAGCCCTCATTTAACCTTAGTTTCCTTCTAAAAACTCTCTTGCCAACAATAATCACATTGAGAGTTAGGGCTTCACTATATAAAGTTCGCAGTGGTGGTGGTGTTGGGAGGGGTACATGATTTAGTCCATAGCAGGACTAAATTTACCAAAACATCTGCAAGGCCTCTACATGTAAACGTACAACATACTGCTGGGATAAATGACAGATTCTGTAATTATAACATAATTTCTGCCACGTGTTTTGTAATTTCTACAACAATGATGATTTCTGTTGTAAATGAAAGGAGAGATATACCATGCTGGAGGGTTAGATGAGTCACCAGAATTAAGATGTAAATTTTCCTTAAATTAGAGTTTCAATACAATCTCAATCAAAATTTTAGACTTTTTTACAAAGAGAAATTGCTAATATGCTTCTAAGATTCATATAAAAAAACAAAGGACCTAAAATATCCAGTAAATCTTGAAATAAGAACAAAGCCTCTGAAAAACATGCACTTCTTAAATTCAAAACTCACTATAAAGTCATCAAAACAGTGTTGTATTGCATAATAATAGACGAAGGTCAACGAAACAGAATAGTGAGGCCAGAAATAGACTTACACTTCCATGAGCAATTGATTTTTGACAAGGGCACCAAAATATTTCGAGGAAGGAAGGAGAATCTTTTGAACAAATGCTTTTGGAACAACTTGATATACACACGGGGAAAAAAAGAATCTCAATCCCTACCTCACACAGTACACAGCAATTAGCAGGAGAGTAGTGACGGAATTAAATATAAAAGCTAACAGTAGATAACTTCTAGAGAAAAAGTGAGGGTATCTTTGCAACCTAGGGGAGGTCAAGAATTTTTAGACAGGACACAGAAAATAATCACCATGGAATAAAAAAATGATGGACTTCCTTTGGTGGCACAGTGGATAAGAATATGCCTACCAACGTAGGGGACACGGGTTCAATCCCTGGTCTGGGCAGATTCCACATGCCTCGGAGCAGCTAAGCCCGTGTACTCCCATCACTGAAGCCCGAACACTGCAGTGAAGAGCAGGCCCTGCTCGCCACAAGTAGAGAAAGCCTGTGCAAACCAATAAAGACCCAGAGCAGCCAAAAATAAACAAAAATTTTTTAAAAGAAAAACTGAGAAATTAGCCTTTCTCAAAAGTAAAAACGCCTCCTCATCAAAAGATACCCTTAACAAAATTAAATTCAGGCCACCAACCGGGAGAAAGCATCCATGAAACATATATCTGATTAAGGACTCAGATTTAGGCTATATCATAAACATCTACAACTCAGTAATGAAAAGACAAGCGAGCAATACAAAATGGTCAAAAGATTTTAAGAGACCCTTTACAAAGGAAGCCAATAAGCAGATGTAAAAGTGTTGAGCATTTGTTGGTCATCAGGTAAAGGTAAATTAAAACTTCAATGAGATACACAACACACCCACTCAAATCCCGTTAGACAGGCTAACACAGAAAGACTGTCAACATCAAATATTGATGAGTATGTAGGTCAACCAAATGTCTCATGCATGATTTGTGGGGATGTAAAATGTTATTAAAAAGCTACTTTAGAGAAACTTTGGACAAATTTTTAGCAAGTTAATTGGTATACCTATCCTTTGCCCCCATAAGTCTGCTCCTAGCTGTTTATCTCAGAGAAATGAAAACATATGTTCACAAAAATTTTCACCTAATTGTTTGCTGCAGTTCCATTAATAACAACGAAAACTGGGAAGGATACCACAGGAGGATGGATGCACAGGAGTGAAATATCCACACAATTGAAAACTACAGGGAAATAAAAGGAATGAGCTGATCATACTTGTAATGACATAACAGAATCGCACCAAAGTCATGCAGATAAAAAGAATTCAGACACAAAAGGGTATACACTGTGTGGTCATACTTCTGTGAATTTCTAGAATAGGTGAAACAAGTCTATGGTGAAAAAATCAGGATGATGGTTGCATGATGGGAGTTGGGGGTATTAACTGGGAAGAGGCATTACAGCTCGTTCTAGTAAGATGGACATATTTTATTGGGTTGGCCAAAAAGTTCGTTTGGGGTTTTTGGACCATGGTACGGAAAAACTCGAACAAACTTTTTGGCCAACCCGATATATTATAATAAGAAGATGGGTTTGATGGAGTTCAGGATCTGCTAACCCAAAATATTGCACCTGGGCATACTGAATATTTTAAGGTGGAAGGGAGACATTCTTATCCCCAGAGATTAGGAATCTGGGTCCAAGAAATCTGTACAAACAAACCTCTTTAAAACAACCCTTATCTTCTTAGTTGCTTCTTCAACAATTACTACCCTAACTCAAAACCCTTTGTCTTGTCAGTGCTTCATAAATATATAGTCTTTTGTCTAAAAAGGACTTCCTGCTCTGATTACTTCCTTGGGTCTTGACTTCCTTGTGAAGGCTCCCACGTACATGTGAAAATTCAATAAAATGTATACATGTTTCTCTTGTCAATTCATCTTTATCAGCTTCATTTTCAGACCCAGCCAAAGACCCTAAGAAGATAGAAAATAAGTTTTCTTCTTCTGCAGGTTATACGAACATATTCTTTTGTCAAAATGTAGAGCAAAGTCCTGTGCATGTCAATGCATTATAAATTTTTTTCTCAAAAACTAAAAAAAATAATTGAGAGGTGTTGAGTGGAAAGAGGAATAAATGAAATAAGAAAAACGAGATATTGATTGTCGTTGAAGGTACATGATGGGTACATGGGGGGGTTGGTTGCACTAGTCTATTTGTATATACTTGTCATTTCTTGTAATGAAAAGTGAAAGGAAGAAAAAGTGTATGCTGGCCTCATACAATTTGGCTCAAGGTCTTGCAGGAAATGATCAGAGAAGTGTCTTCCCTAAATGAAGACACGGTGCCGCCAGGGCTGGCGTTCGCCTTGCCCTCTTGGCTGTCTGCTCCTGCAAGAACTGTAATATCCAGAGGCATCTTGCCAAGAACTGTCTGAAAATGGCACGCCCCTGAGCTTTGCTGTCATGCGAGGAGTCAAGATTTTCCAGTGCCAGGGATGTGAGAGCCTCTGACAGTTTCCAGGCTCTTCTTGACAGTTCTGAAGTGATACTTCCTCAAGGTGACCTGGCTTTAGCCAAGCTGTGTGTCTCCATCCTTGACCCCGAAGCAGCCGGGGCGGGAGCTGGCTGCTGGGTCTCGGCTGCGATGCTAAGACACGGGGCGCTTTCTTTGCTCTCTAGTCCCTGCTCTCAAGAGCTCAGATGTGAGCCAATTAGGTTAGCAGCAGTTTCTTCCTCTTCTGAGACATGAGGTTATACTTTTCTTTTTCTCAGTCGGGATCTTTTCTCACACCATGTGTTGCAGATGTCAATTTCGGTTCGCGGAGAGTCACTGTTGGGCGATTGTCTCACTCCCCACCCCCCATAACAGAGGGACCCCCGAACAAACCATCTCAGAAGTCCCACAACTCCCGCAAAGGGATGCAGACAGTGCAGCTTAGCAAAGGGAATAATAGCCTTCCCCAGCTATAGATTTCNGTTGGTGTACAGTTATCCCTTCTGTAAGCCTCTCCCAAGCCTCACAGCAGACATTTTTTTAAACTTTGTATTTTGTATTGGAGTATAGCTGATTAACAGGGCTTCCCAGGTGGCTCAGAGGATAAAGAATTCAGAGGTACAGGAGACACGGGTTTGATCCCTGGGTTGGGAAGATCCCCCGAAGGAGGGCATGGCAACCCACTCCAGTATTCCTGCCTGGAGAGTCCCATGGACAGAGGAGCCTGGAGGCCTCAGTTCACAGGATTGCAGAGAGTTGGACACAGCTGAAGCAAATGATCACATATGCACATAGCTGATCACCGATGTTGTGACAGTTTCAGGTGACAGCAAAGGGACTCAGCCATACATATGCACATATACATTCTCGCCCAGACTCCTCTTTCATCCAGGCTGCCACATACCTTGGAGCAGAGTTCCCTGTGCTCCACAGGAGGTCCTTGTTGCTTGTCCATTTTAAATAGAGCAGACTTATAACTTCCTAACTATTCCTTCCCCCTTACCTCTGTCCCCTCCCCGGCAACCATAAGTTCATTCTCTAAGTCCCTACAGCAGTTATTTTAATCACAGGGTGCAGTGGCCTGGGTGGAGGGTAGCTGTAATCAGTGGTTTACCTGTAGCTCCAAAGACAGTGAGTTTATCTTCCCTGCAGCGAGAAGAGGATTCATACCCACACCATCAGAGCAGAAAGCAGGAGGAGGCTGGCAGGGGTGAGCGGCCGCCAAGCAGACAGTCCTTTTTGTGGCAAGCTGCTCCTTTAATGTCTGCGACAGAGCAATACAGACTCCACAGCCACGACCTTTTCTTGGGCTGTTCTAGAAGGCAAATTTGCTTCAGTTGGGAAGTATCGCTGGAAGGCTTCATCACAAACTCCACGCATAAGGTGACCCTGAAAAATACCAGATAAAAACTAACAGGCTGGTCTGGCTTGCACACAAACCAGAGGCAACCGGACAGGTGTGGACGTGAAGCTGCCCAAACACACAGCCCCAAGGAACAGAGCGGCCACTGGGACTGGGCTGGCAGGACATAGCCAGGGGCGATCTGCTAGATAATCACCTCTCTGGATGAGCCGCTGGGGCCCCCAGAGCACCTTGCTCCACTGCTTCGTACATCTCGAACTTCTGGCTAGAGGTTTGACAGAGTTCAGGGATTTCTGAGCGTGGCAGTTGGATGGAACTTTGGAAGTTCTCTAGGAAAGAGGCCTGTGAAGGTCAGAGGTCTTGTCTGAGGTTACAGAGCCAGCCAGTGGCTGAGCTTTCCTTGAACCCAGGTCTTTTGTCCCCCAGCCCAACGTCTGTGCTGAACCCAGCAGGCTTCAGAAGCTCGAGAGCAAGAGGACAGAGGAGTGGGACGAGGCCAGGCAGCTGTTCATTCTAGGAATGCTGCCTTTGGAGATGAAACCTGACTTCCCGCAGAACTCCGAGGAACCTTCTCCTTGCAAGGGAACGGTCCCTGTGCATTTTAACCCTCTGCTCCCAGAGGCAGCCAGCCATGTGTCACACGGTCTCTGCAGGCCAAGACCTGTAGGGGGCACTGTTGGCTCTGTGGATGCTTCAGTGGGTAGAGGCGTGGAGCTGCAAAGGCCCTGGCCAGGGGCAGCCAGGCAACTGACTGGCCTGTAGGAGGGACTTGTCTTCTAACTGCAAAGCGCAGTTTCTTCTTAGCCTTCATCTTTGCCATCATCAAGGTGGCTTAGTCACTAAGTGGTGTCCGACTCTTGCGACCCCATGGACTGTAGCCCGCCAGGCTTCTCTGTCCGTGGGATTTCTCAGGCCAGAACACTGGAGTGCCATTTCCTTCTCCAGGGGATCTTCCTGACCCAGGGATCGAACCCATGTCTCCTACGTTGGAGGCAGGTTCTTTACCCACTGAGTCACCGATTGTTATTAAACATATGCTACGTGGAGGATATGAAGCCAAGCATTTTACATGGTTCCCGTTATTTAGTCCTCATGGTGGCCTGTGAGGTCAGTGCTGACATCACTCCATTTTACAGATCAGAAAACAGAAAAGGCTGCACCCTCCAGGATCCCTCCTAGGACACTGGAACACGCTCTACTGCTTTGCTGCTCTGGTTTAATTTAGTGCGTGGAAACAGGGCTGGGCCTGCGTCCCCTTCAAGGGCACATCAGGTGACTAAAGCATTCTAGTACACTGCATTGATAGACAAGCCTAGAGACTTCTGGCAGTTTCTAGGGGTTTCTAGATCTTTCTGGGAAATGTCTGCATTTTTCTCCTTCCCTTCGCTTCTGGAAACAAGAGTCTGGGGAGCTGGGGTGTGGCAGCCAAGGCTGTCGTGTGGAAACTGATTCCAAATCTGCCCCAGCGGAGGGCCGTCCTTGGGCTCCCTGTTCCCCTTCTTCTGGAAACATGGGGTGGGGTTCTTTTAGCAGGTCTCTGCCCTGTAAGTGGGGCTTCTAGAAAGACAAACATTTCTCTAGGGCCTGAAAAGAAACTGCACTTGGCCACTTTCCCATAAAGGAGAAATCGTAGCTAAGCGAGAATCTCCTTCCCCATGTGCTCCAAGAAGCGTCTGCAGTGGAGCCACCCTCACCAGGACCCCTGCATGCCTTCCAAGGCGGGGAGACCCAGCCCCGCGGCAGCTTCAAGGAAGACACGCTGGAAACAGCTCAGTCCCTGCTCAGGAGGAGCCTTGGGTTAACAGGGCGGTGGTGGTGTGCGTGAGTATTCACACATATTCCTTCACCCATGGGAGTGAAATGGCTAAAACCATACAGGAATATTGCTCAAGCTGAGTTCATTACCTACCATAAAAATGCTCAATAAAGGAGATCGGAGCGGAGTGAAAATATTCCAGAAAATGTCTTAGAAGTGAGTTTTAAGTCAGATTTTAAAGGTCACTTCCATCTATCCATCCATCCACCCACTCATTCTGACTGATGCCTTCACCTTACTGGGACCTGTGCTAAACAAGTCCCAGGGGAAAGTGATGCTAATGGATTCATTTGTTTATTTATTCGCCCACAACCCAAAGTCGAGGGTTTGCTTGTGCCCGGCATTAGAGAGAGCCTGAAGGGGGCAGGGAGATCTTCCTGGGTAGGGGATTTTGTCAACAGAGTCTCCGGGATGGGCGCTGCGTGGATACAGGCAGACAGTTAAGGAGGCTGGCTTTCCTTCTCTGCTCTCCTTGTTTCTTGTTTAGAGAAACAGTGGTTTTAACAAGGGAGGCTTTGAAGTTCTGGGCTGCAGAAGAGCAGCTGCCGTGCGTTCCTGGGTGACGCACGGCCACTGATTTAACAAATACTTAGGAAGAACCTACTGTGTGCCTTGCACTGTGTCAGGGGAGCTGGACGGTGAGGGAGGAGGAGACAGACAGACAGCACGCGTCCTCCTCGCCCTCCGGACCCCTCCGGCTGGTTGATGCCCCAGCTCAGGGCCTGCCTGCTGACCCGAGCGACTTGACCAGCTCCGCGACAGCAGTGCCTGAGCGCCAGAACCAGAGTGTGTGTGTGTGTGCGTGGGTGTGAGTGTGTGAGAATGTGGCTGGATGTGAGTATGCAAGTCTGTGTGTGTCTGTGTTAGTGTGTCTCGGAATGTCTGAGTGTGTGAATGAGTGTGTGTCTGTGTGTGCCTGTATCCGAGTCTGTGTGTTGGTGTGAATGTCTGTGTCCACATGTATATGGTATGTGCGAGTGTTTAAGCGTGTGAATGAGTGTGTGTCTGCATGTGCCTGTGTGAGAATGTGAGTGTGAATGAGTATGTGTGAGTGTGTGTGTTCATGTGTATATGGTATGTGTGGGTAAGTGTGAGCGGATAAGTGTGAGTGTGTCCACCCATAAGTGCACGGAGGTGGGAGACTTTCCTGTCTCAGGAAGGAAAGCGTGAACAGGGGCTTCCCCCGAGGATGCGTCTAGAAAGCTGGCCGGCGGCAGCAGGCAGCTGGGCGGAGCAGACAGGCTGTTTGCCATCGCGGGCGGGGCAGGGGGGTGTCCGCGGGGCAGAGGCGGCACAGGGAAGGCAAGGAGATCCCCGACGGGACTCCGGGCTGGAGCTTTCCGGCCGGTCGGTGGGGGAGGCCGGCAGGCGGCGCCGTCCGCGGCGGAAGCGAGTGAGGCCGGCGGCTGGTCCGGGGCTCCGCGAACTGGTCCAGGAGGCCCCGGGGAAGCCGAGGGGAGGTGGACCCGGCCTCGGTCGGCTCCACGCGGAGGTCACCGGGCTTGCGACCACCCAGGGCAGAGCAGCAGGGCCGAGAAAGGGCAGAGGCCCGCTCAGGCCACCGCCAGGGGCCCCGAGGCTGTTCCCTGAGCCAGAGGCTCGCGGGGCCCGCGAGCAGGCAGGCCCGGGCCGCTGACCCCTGGATCAGGGCGTGTCTGGAAGGGACCCGGAGGGTGGCTTTGTCGGAGCCCCGCTCCACCCCACACCCGGGCTGGATCGCAGCCCTCGCCGCCTGGCGACGCACGCGTCCGCCAGCCTTCTTCCTTTTCTACGTACAGATGATTCATCAGGTTAAGACGGACTTCTCAGAGCGCTTTGTTTTCTTTTAAAAAGAGCTAACAGAAAGCCCAGTGGGTTTGGCAGTCGCCTCCCCTTCCCTCCGCTGCCTGTTCTCTCGGCTCACCCCTCCCGGGCCCCCGCCCGCAGCTGTTCCCAGTGCCGTAATCCTGGGTTCTGGCATCAGAGCCGTTGCCATGGGGACCCCACCGATTCAGCATCCTGATGACGGGTTTGGTGGGGATGAACGTGAGAAGAGGGGCGGGGGTGAGAGGGAGCGGGGGCAAAGTCTCCGGTTCTGCGGGAAGGGCCGGTGGGGGGAGGTGGCGAGGAGGCAGTGGGAAGGGGGTGTATTAGTTTCCCACGGGTGCTGTGACAAATGGCCGCATACTGGGTATAGCTTGAGACGACACGTGAGGATTCTCTGATGGTTCTAGAGGCCTGCCGTCCAAAATGAAGGACGAGCTGCGCTGGCTCCTCCTGGAGGCTGAGGAGCATCTGTACCCGACCTCTCTTCCGGCTTCCGGTGTCGCCAGCGATCCCTTGACTGGTGGCTGAGTCTGCCCAGTCTCTGCTTCCATCCTTACGTGGCCTCCTCCCGGCTCACTGTGCATATGCTCCTTCTCTCTCTCTTAAGAGAGGGATAGAGCCCACCCTAAATCCTGGATGACCTCATCTCTAATTACACTGGCCAAGGCCCTTTTCACCTTCAGAGGTTCCAGGGGATTGTAACTTGGATGTGTCTTTTTGAAGGTCCGTATTCAACCCACTGCAAAGGGGGGAAGCGCATACAGGAATGCACTCTGCTGCCTCAGATCTGACATGCCAGCGTTGAACATTAGGATAGGGTGGGGGTTTCTGCCGGAAATTTGCCTCTTTGTACCACTCCAGTATCTTTGCCTGGACAGAAGAGGCTGGCGGGCTACAGTCCACGGGGTCACAAAGAGTTGGACATGACTCAAGCAACTTAGCATGCACAGAGCCACAGATCAACCTGTTTCTCTGTGTGTGTGTGTGTGTCTCTTGGCCGTGCCTGGGATGGTTAAGAGCACAAACCCTGCACCAGACTGGCTGGGATGGCAACCTGGCTCTGCATTTCTAGCTCTGAGAGTCCAGGGTTGAAGTGAACCGCTCCATGTCTCGGTTTTCCCAGCTGTAAACTGGGTGTGATAATAGTTCCTTCTTCATAAGCCTGATGGGAGCAACAGAGGACTCAGTGGCCAGGAAGTCCTTAGGACAGCGCTCACACACTCCCACTGTGGAGTAGGCCTTGGGACACATCAGTGAACAAAGTTGGTACATATCCCTGTCCTCAGGGAGCTGACATTCCAGAAAAGGAGGAAGGTGAACCATAAATCTGTTGTTGTTTAGTTGCTCAGCCGTGTCTGACTCTTTGCGACCCCATGGGCTGTAGCCCACCAGGCCCCTCTGTCCATGGGATTTCCCAGGCAAGGATACAGGAGTGGGTTGCTATTTCCTTCTCCAGGAGATATTCCCGACCCAGGGATCGAACCCAGGTCTCCTGCACTGGAGGTGAATTCTTTACCATTGAACCACCAGGGAAGCCTGAAATGTAAATGGTAGACAAATAAATAAGGAAGTGACATAGTACATTGGAAGGTGATAAATGCCACAGAAAGGAGGAAAGTAACCAGAAAAGCGGATGAGGAGTGTCTAGAGGGAGGTCAAGTGGGTCAGGACTCAGAAGAATGGCCAGAGAGCCTGTGAGTTTCCTATTTCTCACCAGAGCATCCATCCAGTGGATTCTTAAAGAGGCAGCACTCCCCCCAGTCCCCTGTAATCAACAAGCCTTTCCTCTGATGGAGGAAACTACTGCCTGTAGGCTGGCCCCCAGACCTCAGTTGATCCTAGGAGCTTTGAAGCGCAGATGGCCCCTTTAAAGAGTCCAGAATGGCAGTGTGGAGGCTGGGCTTTTGCATCCCTGGGGAGGAGGTACCGCCTTGGGTGTCAGCTACCAATACTCCCAGCAACTGGGGGGTGGGTGTGTCGGCCCCAGAAAGGTCTGGGCCACACCCACCCCAGGTGAGGAGATCAGCTGAGTGGGACGATGCATGTGAGATCGTTGGCAAATTGCCAGGCCCATGAATGATGCTAAATAAATGGTGATTGGTAGTGTTCTGAAAGGTTGGTAGCCCCTCCCCTTGGAAACACTTTCTTTCCTTGGCATCCAGGACCTCACAGGCTCCATCTCCCTCCTGCTTCCCTGGCACCATTGCTGGCCCCTCCTCCTCCCCTGTGTCCTGCAACTGGAAATCTCCTCTCTGACTCCTGCTCCCTCCCCTCCATCCTTCACAGCCATTTCCCCTGGAAGTCTCTTGCCCATCCTATCCTGTCTTGGCATCTGCTCTGGGGAGGATCCAAGGCAACAGATTAGCATCTCAAACTTCAAATGTTCTAAACCAAATCAACCAGCTCTCTCTCCCCTCCAGAAACCTACTGCTCCACCAGACCTCCAACCTCATGTTAATAAATGCCAGCTGTCTCCTGTTGCTCATGCCCCAAAGCGTGATCCTTGAGTCTCCTCTCTCTTCCATTCTCCAGCCCAGCATCAAATCCCGTTGGCTCCCACTTCAGAGCTGGTCGAGGGTCAGACGAGCCTGGCTGTCCTCTGCACCAGCCTAAGCTGATGTCATCCCCCACCTGGATTGTTAAGCCCTGCTCTCCAGACAGCCTGCTTCAGTCTTGCTCTGTCCCTCCCTCGGGCTGTTCTTATTACATTGCTGAGTGATGCTTTCAAGATGTCAGATTGAATCTTGGGGGTCAGTGTCTCCCAGGTGACAGTCATGAGCCACATCACCACCCTCACAGGTCCTCCCAACCCCCTCTAGTCTGTCCTCCACCCTGTAAGCCGTGCACCATCCTTGCTGGTCATCTTTGGGCCAGCATCCACTTTGGGGCTCTCATCTATACGCTCTTGTCAGCACATTAATTCCCTCTTCTCCTTCATGGGTCTTCACCCAGGGGCCACCTTCTCAGGCTTCCCTGACCAACGCCTTGTTCCCCTTCCTGTCCAAACACTGACATCTAATTTTGCCTCTTAAATTGGTGTATTGGTCTGACTCCTGCCATTAGAACAGAAACACCATGGAGGCAGGAGTTGGGTTTCCTCTCCTCCCCACCCCCAGGCCCACCCAGGACCTGGGGCAGGGCAGACGCTCCATAAATATTTATTGAGGGAATAAAGAGCAAACTCACCAAAGGACCTGGTGCATAACAGGATTTGATAAATATTGGCTTTATAAAATTGTGTTTGCTTTTATTTCATAAAATTCAGGAGCCTGTAGAACAGAAACAAAAATAACCTATAATCCCACTGCTTTGATACCCCCTAAGGACATCTTTAGAAAGATAAAAATAATACATGCAGACAGGTAGAAAATCCTATTAGTTATCAAAAGGCATAGGATGGGAGGAAAGAGCCTGCTGCCAGGACTCTGGCACCAGCCCAGCAGTTCCACCACCCTGCCCTGCCCTGATACCCCCTCCTTGGGGGCTGAGAAGGGCTCGTCTGTGGGGGACAGGGGCAGGTGTGCCCTGGGAAGAGGTCGGAGGCTTTGGGAAGCCCTGGGAGCTAGGCTACAGGTGGTTTTAGCTTATACTTTGGCCCGCCAGCACCGACATAAGCTGGATCCTGCGACACTGACATTGTATGGTATCATTCCTCCACTGAGCGCTCTCTGCAGCTTCCGGAGCATGTAGGAGAAAGTCCACACTCTTCTATGGGTCTCTAGGACCCTGTGAGGTCTAACTCTCCAAGCCCTGCCTCACCATCCCTCACTACATCCCAGCCACGCCTTCCCATGTCCTCCCCTGCCCCAGGGCCTTGGTATGTGCCGTGCTGTTCTCTCTGGAAAGCTTTCTTTCTCCTCATCACGTGGCCGGCTCCCACTCAGCCTTCTGGTCTCAGCTGACGTCAGCAGTTCTCACACTTCAAGGAGCACCAGACTCTCCTGGAGAGCGGATGGAAACTTAGGTAGCAGGACCCCCTCGTTAGAGTTTCTGATTCAGTAGTTCTGGGACGACCTGAGAATGTTCAGTTCTCACAGTTTCCCTGGTGCTGCTCTGTTGCTGGGGGGCCCCTACTTTGAGAACCACTGGGTTAAGTGAGGCTACTTTAAGATGCTGGCTTTATGGACACCCCTCCTCCCGCTTTTCTTTTTTTCTTTAAAAAGTTTGTTGAAAAATTTAGTGATTATTATTAGTTGTGGCCTCACCACACTGCATGTGGAACCTTAGTTCCCTCACCAGGGATCAAACCTGCAGCCTCTGCGTTGGAAGCATGGAGTCTTAACCACTGACCACCAAGGAAGTCCCTTCCCCACGTCTCTAAATTAAGTCCTCCTGTAGCACCTTGTGTTTTTCTTCACACCAAGTATTATCATACTATAATATATTATGGTTATAGTATTGTGGGTTTTTCATTGTAATTTTGTGTTGAAGGAATATCTTCTAATTTGCACCGGAGCAAGCATTTTGGTTTCCCACCTCCATCCTTTCTTATATTAAAACAGCGGCCGGCCAATAAACAGATATTGTACAGAGTTAGTCTCTCTTGCCTTTAGAAGAGAGGGAACTAACACTTATTGAATGCTCTTAAGCATCGTGCACTATTATGAAGGCTTCTAGAATAATAATAACCAACAGTGACCTCTGTTTACTGAGCATCTGTTCTGTGCCGGGAAACATACTTTGCGAGGAGCTATGGCTGTTTGGTTCATTTCTGTATCCCTAGTGCCTGGCCATAGTGATGCCTAATAAATATATATATATATTTACTAAGTGATTTAATGAGTAAAAATAAATGATTCTCCTACATGGGACTTTTCTTTCTTTCCTGGAGGATGGAGGGACTTCTTTCTGGGACTGGTTTTATAGACCTAGCTACTATCTGGGGCTGTCTGTGAGGGGTTAGGAGGCTGGGCTCCTTTAAGATCTTGAACCTGGTCTCACCTCTCCAGAAGGAATGAGGAGGAACCCTGGAAGCTCCGGGCATCTTTCAGCATCCTGCAGAGGTGATGCGGAAAGGCAGACACTCCCTCATCTAACAAAATAAAGGTAAAGAAGCAGGCGCGGGGACCCAGAGGCTGGTTTATGCCCCTTAAGTGCAAAGCAGAAAATAACAGGAAGATCAAAGCAAGGCCGAAAAGGAGGAGACAGAAACATATAAGGAGGTCCCGGAGAGGCAGAAA